TCCTTTGTCAACATACGTGGAAAATTGGGGATCATTGACATCTCAAATGTTTCCTAGTTCTATCTCCTTATTTTCACATTAAGTATTCTCTTTAACTATGTGTTTAAGTGGGTAATACTTTGTGAGTGCAACTTTCAACACTTCAAGAGTAAGGTAATGTCATTTTAATTTCTCCTTGAACATAAGTTTTACCTAATTGAATATTTTTAGAGTTCTTTTAGAAATGCTTCATATACTTTCAAATGATGAAAACCATGAATGTTCATTTCCAAAATTTTTTGATTAATAACCATTGTGTGTTCTTGATCTATATGTTTACAATGACTTCATGTATTAATTCTTTCACATTTGTATAAATTTGTTCTTAATGTGAAAGCATGTGTTGTGGTTATTTCCCTTATCTTATCTTGCAATGTATTATTCATATTGTCATAGTTATGTTATTTTGATAAACACTTTCATTTTGGTAGTAGTAGTGAAATTATGTTTTTGCTATGGTTGGCACATGTGTGGCGACATCGGGAGTTCCATTATGAAATATTAAAAGATCGTGACGCTCAACTTAACCTTCATTGTTTTTTGCATTACATTACACTTTTTGTGATATGTGCAGATCGTTATTTAAAATTTTGCATCATTGCATATATATATATATATATATATATATATATATATATATATATATATGGGGATATGTAATTGTTGCTTTTATATTCAAAATTGCCTCTGAATTATAATTATGAATTATTTTGGAAACTGCAGTACTTCTAACCGGTTGCTATATTCTTTTTGATATTGTCAAAGGGGGATAAGAATATGCGAGACGAAGATGGGAAGCACAAAGTCAGGAGGAGCTTTTGGGAATTACAAGAAATGCATCGTCGCAAGTTTTGCCATCATCAAAAAGGGGGAATTTGTGAGTACAACTTCGCTTCAAAAGTGTTATGTATAATGTCAAAACCGGGACAAGATGGAACTTTTATGAAGTGGATTTTATCCCTATGTCTTGTGGCACTGCTCTGCATTATAGGTCTTAGGAATCATCAAAAGGCATATTGAAATTGATCCAAATCATTGAAAAACCATTTTTCTATAGTTTTTCGTTGTATGTGTCGACACATTCGAGTTTCAGGTCGACACATGTAACTCATTTTTAAGGCATGTAGCTTCTGTAAGTCTCAAGTCGACACATACATCCATACAGGTCGACACATAATGAAAGAATTCTAAAATTGTATAAATTTCCATCTTATGTATCGACACATCCATTTTTCAGGTCGACACATCTACTAGCGTATTTAAGCCTGTAGCCTCTGAGTTGTTCAGGTCGACACATGACATTATTTGAGGTCGACACATACGACCTAAACACAAATTATATGTCAGCTCATACGAGTTTTAGGTCGACACATCCTGTTTGATTTGGTCATATTTTAATTTCTTTTTGATTCCAAATATGCCCTTATTGCCCTAATTGTACAACAACTATAAATACTCATTGATGCATCATTCATAACTGGATGATACCATAAAGTTAGCCTAATTTTTCTCTCCATCTTCAACCTTTTAATTTATACATACACACCAACATTACATTGTGATGATGTTCCGTCGGGGTGCCATCTAGACGAAGAATTTTGGATTTCCAATTGGTTTGGGTTGAGTTCTTATAGGGGTCTTCATCCGAAAAAACCATCGGGTTTTTCCTCCAACATCATTTTTTGAATTGGGGGTTTTTGTGCAAGATTGTGCAAAGGATCGTCCATGTAAAAAATCTCTTGGAGTGTTTGAAATCTTTTCAAGGAACCTTAGAGTGGTTGAAATCTTTTTAAAGAAGCAGCAAGAATTGGATGATATAATCGTTGGTCTTGTGTTGATAGTTTGCAAACGGATTTACTCGAGTAAAAAATCCCTTGGAGTGTTTGAAATCTTTGCAAGGAAACTTGGGGTGTTTGAAATCCTTTTAAGGAAGTAGCTTAAGCGGCGAATATGTTGCATCTATCAGTTGATTTGATCATGCTCAAGATCAAAGATTGGAAGAAGGAGCATCAACACCAAATTGGAGAATTTTATATTGTTATTTCTAACTCTTCCATTGTATTAAACATTTTGCATATAAAACTTATCTTAGTTCCATTGGAATTAGGCGCAGACGTACTCACACGCGAGGATGACAGTGGGGAACTGTATAGACAACTTCCTTGTGTATTTTTACTTTTCTGCTTTTACTTGCTTTCATTTTCATCAATATTTTTTATCAAATATCATTGTGATAGGAATTGAATTGTAAGAATTTTTCTCTAAAATTATGTTTTGAAATAGGTGTGGATATAGTTTTTAATTAATTTTGACTATAAGTGGTTTGTATATCAACACTACTCAAAGACAAATTCTGAAAATTCACTTGTACGCCAAGTATTTGATAAAACGATCAAGTTAGTTCTTTTATTATTTAGCCTTGAAAATAGAATTGCAAAGTGATTGTGTTCAAACAATAAATAAATTGGATTATTGATTTGAGTTTGTATCAATCTATTACTCGTTTTGTTTCATAGATTTATCTTGTATAGTTTGTATATCCGAGTTTCCAATAAGTTATTTTTGGATAACTTATCTAATTAATTGCTTCTGCATCAAAAAGTTTTAAAAATAATTGATTTATAGATTTGTGTCTATAAATATTTTTTCGCTCCTCTATTCACTCCCCCTCTAGATACGTGTCGTCGTCTAACAGATATAAGTACCTAAAGTTAAGAAGTAACATTATTTTTGGAGAATGGATTTACAGTCTCAAAAATCAAATAGTATCTTGATAGAGGTTGTTCAAAGCATATAACATATAATAAAACCTTGTTCTCCGACTTCTTTCCCAAAGAAGGAGGATTTTTCTCCTATGTGGATAATAATAAAGGAAATATTTTAGGTTTTGGCACTATTGGTAAGTCCCAAAATCCAAAGATTCAGAGAGTTCTCTTGGAAAAAAACTTAAGCATAATTCACTCAACATAAGTCAACTATGTGACAAAGATAACAAAGTAACATTTGATTCTTCTGATTACAGGGTCATAAATAAAAATAAAATGAAACTCTATTTAATAGCTCAAGAAGTGGAAATACCTACATAGTAAATTTAAATAAGATTTCTTCAAGTGATTTATGTCTCCTAAGTAACGAGTACAAATTAGAATAAATTGGTCTGCAAAGATCTCGTAGACAGCCTTCTTGACTTGCGTTTTTAAAAGAACCGGTTATGTGATGCATGGTAAAATGGGAAGCAATTAAGGGCCTCTTTCAAATCTAAAAATATAATTTCTACCGATTTCCCCTTACAATTGCTTCACATGGACCTTTTTGGCCCATCTAAAACTATAACTCTAGTTAGAAACGTCTACGCCCTTGTAATTATCGATGTATTCTCGCTATACCTAGACATTATTCTTATCCTAAAAAAGAGAAGTGTTGACTAACTTTTGAAAACTAGCAAAGGTTATCCACAACGAGAAAGGTGTAAGCATTGCATTCATAAGAAGTGACGACAAGGGAGAATTTTAATATGAGAAATTTGAAAATTTTGTAACGAGAATGGTATTTAACATAATTTTTCCACTGCACGAACTCACAAAAGGGGGTAGTGTAAAGGAAAAACATATCTATGGCAGAGCTTGCAAGCATGGTGCTCAATGCGTCAAATCTTCCAAAATACTTCTGGGTGATGTTGTGAATACCGCTTGTTATGTTATGAATCGTGTCTTGATAAAACCAATTCTAAAGCGGGTGTCATATGAACTATACAATGGAAGAAAGCATAAGATTTCTCACTTATACGTCTTAGGTTGTAAATGATTTATATATCCATAACAACGAGAAATATGACCTTAGAAATTTGATGCAAAAACTGATGAAGACATATTCATAGGATATTCCACTTCTAGCAAATATTTTAGAATCTATAACAAAAAAAACTACGACAACCGAAGAATCAGTTCATGTTGCCTTTGATGAAACTAACCTCAAGCCTGTAGAAGTAGAAGTTGTTGATTGTACATGTATTTTGGAAAAGACAAATCCTGAGGATAATCAATAACCGAACCAAGAGCAAAATGAAAATTAAGTCACAGAAGAAGAGCAGTTCAGGATCAAATCACCGACAATCCACAAGAACATCCCGTTCTCCCAAAGAAATGGAGACTGGCAAAAGATCATCTGATCCAGAATGTTATTGGAGATGTCTCCAAAGGAGTCATTACTCGGCGGTGTCTCAATAAGGTATGTAACTTTGTGGCTTTTGTATTGAGCCAACGAGAATCGACGAAGTCATAGCCGACTAACATTAGTCTCTTGCTATGTAAGAGGAGTTAAATCAATTTGAACGAAACGTTTGAGAACTCGTTCCTAAAGCTTTAGCTAATCTAGTAATTGGTATCTGATGGGTATTTCGCAACAAATTGGATGAAGATGACAATATTTTAAGAAATAAAATCAGACTCGTTGCGAAAGAATACAATCAACGGGAAGAAATAGATTTCGATTAAATATATGCTCATGTAGCTAGATTTAAAGTCATAAGGACGTTATTAGTTTTCTCTTGCATCATGAATTTCAAATTATTTCAAATGGATGTAAAAGTACTTTTCTAAACGATAAATATTAGATATGGTAGTTATTATTACATATGATTAACGTCATTTTATAGAAAACGTGTGAAGAAATATGTTATGACATTGTGAGAAACATTCTAAAGAACAGAGCAATTAAGAGACATTAGATGTATGGAGTTGATAGTACTAAAACAACAACATATATAAACAAAATAATCACACTACAGGGAAATCTCAAACTTGCATCCTTCTTCAACATGCATTTTGAGTAGTAATCTCAGTACATTTTGAAGTTTTAAGTAGCATACATGGACATCTTGGAATTATTAAAAACTACATTGACACTAATGTAAAAACAAACTTTATTTACTCAAACTTGATGAAGGTCTATCGATAACCCCATTAATTAGTCACACATGGTTTGTGAGAATATATCTTTAGAGGTTGAAAACCATGGCGAATAGTTGCTTCCCATACTTTCTTAGTGTCAAGTATAGTGTCACCACACTCATCAACATTCCATCCTTCTAAAGCATGAATTATTCCAGCAATACGCCATGCACTCATAGCTCTTCTTGGAAGCCAATTCTGTCACATATATAAATACATTACATAATCATTCTCGTTTTAATTATAATACATATTGAATCCTATAAAAATGTCTTACTTACACACCTCGCACGAGTGTGAGTTCATGAATGTATTAGGAGTAATCATTGATGGTGTGTAATGATAGAAACAACTTTCTCGCATATAATTTAGAGGAAAATGAGAAAATGGTATGAACAAAGATCCTTCTGGTGCTTCCAATTGCTCATCTTCATCCCATTCATCTCCAACTAACCATATCTATTAACAGTAACATAGTAATTAGTTACTAAAATTGTCACAATATTTAAAATATAAGGAAATATTAGATCAACCACCTTTGGAGTATTGATTGGTGAAATATACAAATTTCCTTTTGACATGATCACCCTTTTCTCAAGCTCTTCAAACTCATCCTTGTATAATACACCTACCTATATGATGAGAATAACCAAAAATTTTACAAATAGTATCAATATAATACATCTTGTTTTATATAAGATAAAGTGCATATACCTTTATATTTTTTGTGCATAGAACATTAGCAATAGCAAACACAACCTTATTGAACTTTCCTCTAAGAAGCACTTTATTTGCTCCTTTTGGAATGTTATTGAGCACAATAGAAGCAACTAGACTACTCCCATCTACAATTTTCATCTTTAGTTCTGGGAATCTTCCAATATAGAGATCATAGTGTGCATTAAATTGTCTCTTAAGATCATAATAAAATAGTAATTAGTGTTACTTTAATTAAAATTAATAATAATAAATCAATAGAAAAAGTGAGTAATTACCTGATTAAGAAGTCCTAGACTTATCACCTTTGCTCCATTTAACTCAGCCTCCATAATTGCGTTTTCAATCAACTTGTTCACTGTTTTGCTATGCTTTTTGGAGAAATACTAGAAAGCATAAAATCATAAATCATTTATTGAAGTGCAAAATCTAAAGTGAGGCAAAAAATTATTTTAAGAAATGATCATACTTGTGTTTGAAATTTTGGTATAAGCCAACACTGTAACTTAAGATCGTTGAAAGTGTTACTTTCTATAACAATGACGCGCGCACAAATCCAAGTCATAAGCATAGAGAACATTGTAAAAGGCCACATCAAATGTAGATACCATTTCGATGTTTGAGGGTTTGAGGCCAAGGAAGAAAATCCCAGACGCGATTGATAGATGGAATCAAATGATGTTAAATGTGTTAAGTGCACCACATTTGGTGACTCCTTTGCTCTCTTCAAACATTTTTCATACATACTATCAGTGGATGCATCTACTGTGCCATAAATATAGTCGTAAATCGGCATGAAGAGCGAGTAATTTGTCCTGAATTTCGTGTGATGCAGTGAATGAAACCTGTGGAAGTAAATTAGTATGGACTTAGAATTGTAGAAATTGTTATAAATTTTATTACCAAGATATAGTAACATTATAAACTTACGATGGTGTGTATGAGAGATACTTCAAAAGTGGAAAGAAGGCCAGGAGTTTCTTAGGAAAGAACTCAAAGTTGCAATGACCCATATTGTTCATGAAATCAATGTAAAAGATATAACCATACACTGCAACTAGAGAAGATTTTTTCATGAACAAAGTTGTAAATATTGGGATAAGAAACAGTGTAAAATATGCCAACATCTCAGCAAATGGGTGTGCCACAGCTGCCAACAACAACAACAACAAAAATTAGCACCAAATTTATAAAACTAAGTATTTAAAAATGAAGGGTAAAAAAAAGGTTCATACAAGTGATAGGTTCAGTAACAATCGAGGAGTGATGATGAGAATGATAACGAGAGTATAAATAATGATGATGAAGTGCTCTATGAAGCCAATAGTATAAGAACTCTACTGGACCAGCATGCAATATTGCTGTCAGAATCACACCATCTGTTCTCCACCATGGTAAATTAGAAGCCATGGGAAATGTCATGTATGTTATGTAAAATAACATTGCAGTGAGTAATATTTGATCATCCCTGAAAAAAGTTACGCAATCAAAATATTAATCATTGGTTAGATCAAATCAGTAAAACAAATTCTTAATTTAATAATTTTATATCAAATTTTCGGGACTAATTAATTAACCAATTGGTTTCTCGGTCGACTTGTTCGAATTCGAGGCCTTTGTCGACGATTCGGCGTTTTCCTTTAGCAGTTTGGTAGCGTGAGACAGAAATCCAAATCTGATTGTGTAGCATTCTGATGAATATAAAAGGGAGTACAAGATAGTACATTGGATCACATTTAGTCCATGTGAAAGTGTATATGCTATGTGCAATCCATGGAGTTAGAATCACAAACTTGAAGTCTCCAAGAGGTTTCCATGGCCAGTTTGTAAGGATGCCTGGTTTGGAAGCCATGTTATGAAGTTGTGATGATGATGAGATAGTGGCATATGCAAAGTTGTTTATATAGTGGTTGGATTTAGAAAATTAATTGTTTATCAAAGTGGATTTGTATAGAGATGAGATTGATAGTAGTACTGTATAATAATACTATTGATTGAGAGCAACATTCATAAATATGATCATGCTAGCTGGTGGCATTTTGAGTCATTATAGACTCATCATTTTCTCATCATACCAGATTTCTAGTTATTTTCTAGTCTTGTGTTACGTGTAGCACACATTTTTATAAAATGTTTACTCTCTACTCTATTCTGTATTAACAAAAGTTAGCCTATGTTTGGCAATTTGGTGGGCTACTGGAATTTTGAGAAACGGGTAAGTGTAGTTTCTGGATTCCCATGACATTTTGTGATTTTAAAATTTTCGAAAAGAATAATGCTATTTTTATACTATTGTGTAAAAGTACGCTAAATATTTGGTGCTAAATACTTACACCAACTAGTGTTCACTTTTTAAAATAAAATAATAATATTATAAAAAAAATTATTTTTAAAATCATTTTTATAATATAAATATATAGTTTATTGTTAATCAATTTTATTATTGTATTAATCAAAAAAATATAGGTTACTAACCAGTTTACTATTTTATTAATCAATAAATTATATTACATGAATCAAGTTCTCACGTTAAAATATATTTTAGTCTCTATAAATTATTATGTATGTAGTTTTAGTCCTTACTGTTAAACTGATATATATATTTTTGAATAATTATTTTGCAAATATGTTTAGAATGTTATAAAAAAATTCTCCGAAAAAAAAAGAAATTCAAAATTTAATTTCTACGTCGAGATTTTTATTGCTTTTATTAATATCTTTTGAAATTTAAAAAAATCATATTTAATTCTTCTCATTTTAAACAATTATAAAATTTAGTAAATAAATATTTTATAATATTCTAAACAATTATGAAAAAAATTATTTCAAAATTTAAAAATAATTAAACGGATTTTAAAATTTTAGAAAATAACAGAAATTAAAACGGTATGAATAAAAAATTTATAGTAATCAAAATATATTTTTGATCTTACCTGATCAGACTTGGACCGTCACGACTGGCTCCGAGCGGGAGTTGAATGAGATGGGGGGTACCTGCAAGGCACTCCGATGCTAAAATGAGTGATGGTACGAGCAGGCAAAAAAGTGTGCGTATGAGTAAAAGAATGAATACCTGACCCTCTGGAAACAGAGGGTATTTATAGCCCCCAGCGCGGGGCCAAGGGCCCTTCATTGGACCGACCAGGACTGGCCCAATAAAGGAACTTCCAGGTTCTACGTGTGTAGTGGAGACTCGCACGTGGTCTCCTTCCTGGTGATGCTCTGCGAGAAATGAGGAGGGATGAGGACGCGGTCTTTCTGGAGTTCAGGTGATTTGGTAACGGTTAGAGTCTGCCCTACGAGGAGGGTGCTCGAGCTGGGCTCGAGCTGGAGTTTACGTGGTCGAGGACACCATGTTCGCGGGAAGCGGTGGGCACGGCTGTAGTTTCTGGTCGGCGCGCTGGCGGGAATCCTTGGGCGCGCGCTCCTTGAAGAGTTGCTTGGATTGGGCCTTCATTCTTGCTCTTGGTCCAGGGCGGGCCCAGTCCAGAACAGGAGCCCCCCAATTCGTGGCTCCTGGAGCAGGAGTTATGACTTGACCTCAGCTCGCCTTTGCCACGGGGTCTGATGCTCGGCCCAGGATATATGCTTCCCCGTGATTGCTCGAGGAGTTTCTCATGAGTTGCGTTCGTAGGGTAATCCTTTCTGAGGCGTGCTCGGGGGATTCTTCGCGGGCTGTGTTCGTTGGGTACACGAGGCAACCCTTGGGAACCGTGACGCCACCCTAGTGAAAGTAGAGCCATCATTGCCTAGGGGAGTAGACGTCGAGGAGGGAAAGCTCGTGGTTCTCCGGGGCGACGTTTCGCATTCCACGTCATCCCTATAAATAGGATCCTTGGGTCCCGTAATCTGTTTTTCCTCTTCGCGCTTCTCCTTCTTCCTCTACCTTTGCCGCCGCTGTTTTTCTAGAATTTCGCAAGATCACCGTACCTTCCTCCGTCGATTTTCTTCGCTGCTGCCGTACATCCTCTTTAACTTCCAAGTAAGCGTTTATCCCTCATATTTTTCTATGTTGTAGGTAATTTTTCTGTTATTTGGATGTTAGAAACCCGCATCTGGGATTCGTGCCCGGTACATTCGTGTTCATGCCCGGTATATTCATGTTTGTGCCTGGTAAACGTATGTTTTAGGTATGTGACTCACGATGCTGCCCGGGATCTTCATAGTTTTGGGCGCATAACCTATGATACTGCCCGGTAAACCCATAGTTCTAGGTTTAAGATTCATGATATTGCTCGTCATATTCATAGTTTAGGTCGACGTACTCATGACTGTCCGGGATGTTGGCTCGTTTATGAAGTATGTAGGACGACTCGTCGTGGCACCTTAGCGTCGGGGAGGTGAAACCAGGCTCTTGTTCGAGTCCTCAACGTTTTAACGCGCGCAAAGTGTGACTTGGCTTGTCGTGCCCTTCTTCCCGTCAGTTATGGTGAGCGTATGGATTTGCTCTCGAATTTCATCGGTTTCCCGTGCTTTGCAGGTAAAATGGCTGACGAACCGGAGTCTTCGGGGCGCAATGAGGTCGAAGACCAGAGTGCCGAGGAGAATGTAACTCTAATTGATACCGTTGATGATCCTTTGCTGGATTGGGTGGGCGCCAAGCCCAGAGGGATTGCCTCGGTATATAGTCGGCGCAGTCGGAGCGCCTACACTATCGTCGAACATGGCGGTAGTCAGTCGGGCTTCCAGAAAAACTTTATTGTCACAAGACCGTCTCTTGACGCGCGGATCTGCTCGGAGTTCTCTGAGTATGGGTTTCCCATGTGTGAAATCGTGTTCAAGGACCTCGGTCTCAAGCTCCCCTTTAGTAATTTCCAGGTCGGGGTATTCTGTCATCTGGACTTGGCCCCCTCGCAGCTTCACCCCAACTCGATCGCCTTTCTTCAGGCGTTCGAGCTGACGTGTCGCTTTTTAAGGATCGGGGCGACCATCCCTCTCTTCTTCAGAGTTTTTCATTTGCAACGCCAGTCTCGAGGAGGTAGGCATAGTTGGGTTTCCCTGAAATAGTCGAAGAGGCTGTTCAGGATGTACATGGATTCGGTCTGGGGTTTTAAGGACAAATGGTATGTCGTGCGGCCGATCACCCAGACTGCTCTGGATTCCGTATATGAAGAAGAGACCGCAGTGACCGACGAGAACAGGGAGTCTCTTATGGACGACGAGGGTCGCCCGGTGTTGGGACGCGTATCTAAGTTCCCGTTGCATTGGTGCTCGCGCCATTATGAGCATGGTACCGGGCATTACCATACGCCCGCGGGAGGGATGAGTACCGAGGACGAGGAAGCATACGGTACCCTTTGCAGATATGTCGACAGTTTCTTCCCCGCCCGTTGGGCCACAAGGGAGGGAAAAGACAATCTTGACGAGGAAGGTTACCCGACCTTCGAGGCCCGTCCTATAGATACCAAGGCGCTTGTCGAGTGCCAGTCCTACGGGCATGCCGCGAACCTACTAGGTTGCTTTTTGTTTTATAGTTTTGCAAGACGGGGAAGCTAGATTCCCACAGACGGCGCCACTGATCTTACCTGATCAGACTTGGACCGTCACGATTGGCTTCGAGCGGGAGTTGAGTGAGATGGGGGAGGTACCTGCAAGGCACTCTGATGCTAAAATGAGTGATGGTACGAGCAGGCAAAAAAGTGTGTGTATGGGTAAAAGAATGAATACCTGACCCTCTGAGAACAGAGGGTATTTATAGCCCCCAGCGCGGGGCCAAGGTCCCTTCATTGGGCCGACCAGGACTGGCCCAATAAAGGAACTTCCAGGTTCTACGTGTGTAGTGGGGACCCGCACGTGGTCTCCTTCCTGGTGATGCTCTGCGATAAATGAGGAGGGATGAGGATGCGGTCTTTCTGGAGTTCAGGTGATTTGGTAACGGTCAGAGTCTGCCCTACGAGGAGGGTGCTCGAGTTGGGCTCGAGCTGGAGTTTACGTGGTCGAGGATACCATGTTCGCGGGCAGCGGTGGGTACGGCTGCAGTTTCTGGTCGGCGCGCTGGCGGAAATCCTTGGGCGCGCGCTCCTTGAAGAGTTGCTTGGATTGAGCCTTCGTTCTTGCTCTTGGGTCAGGGCGGGTCCAGTCCAGAACAATTTTTTTTAATATGGACTAAAAATAAAATTTGAGATATTTATAAAAATCAAAAAAAATTTTAATTTTTTTTAATATGTGTGAATTAATCAACTGAATTATTTATTATGAGACGGATGAAATATTAATTTAAATATAACACAAATAATGCATTTAAAGGGTTCTCACCACTTATTTTATGAAAGATTTTGTTAATTATTTAAGACATTTTATAATTATATATTTTAATTAAAAATATGCAAAAAGAATGACGTAATAGATTTGATAAGTGACATGTCTAAATATCATTATACTATCAAAATTTACTAATTTTAAGAAGATAAAAAACTGTTTTTTTATCGTGCATGAAAGTGAAATATCATATTTAATTTCATCGACCAAATTCAGTCTGGTCCGAGGTGAGAAACAGTTTGGTGCTGTTCAATAATACTATTGAGCATTCAAGTTAGTATTTAATTGCACTAAAACTTGTGTGATTCTTGGAAGGAAGGATTCTCATAAAGGATGCATTATTTTGTACAGTTTTATTGAACAGTATATTTGCTTATGAGGAAAATATAAAAGCTACTAATTTTTTTTTGTTGCTTAAGGTCTCGTAACTTCCTCCAAAATGCATTGATGAATCCATTTATGAGATTTATATAAGATAAGGGGTGTCGAATTGCATAAGCACGTGTTTATAAATAGAAATAATTTTTATTTTATAAATCAGATTTGTAGGATATTTCGCTGATATATTTTAAGATTTTATTAGATATTTGATCT